ACCAGCTACTTAGGAGGCTGAGGCAAGAGAACTTGGGAGGTGGAGGTTGCAGTGAGCCAAGATCATGCCATTGCACTCCAGCCTGGGCAACAAGAGTGAAACTCTGTCTCAAAAAAAAAATTGCTAAAATAACTAAAAGAGCATAACTGGAATGTCTGTAACACAAAGAAAGGATAAATTCTTGAGGTGATGTGATGGATAATCCATTTAACCTGATGTGACTATTATGCATTGTATGGTCATATCAAAATATCTCATGTATCTCATAAACATATATACCTATCATATACACGTAAAGAATAAAAATTACAGCACTTTGGGAGGCCAAGGTGGGAAGATCTCTTGAGCCTAGGAATTCAAGACCAGGCTGGAAGATGTGGGGAGACCCTGTCTCTAAAACAAGTTAAAAAATTAGCTCAGCATGGTGGTATACATCTGTAGTCCCAGCTACTTGAAAGGCTCAGGTGGGAGGATCACTTGAGCCCGGGAGGCAGAGGCTGCAATGAGCTGAGGTTGCACCACTGCAGTCTAGCCTGAGTGACAGAGTGAAACCCTGTCTTAAAAAAAAAAAGATTAAAAAAAAAAAAAAAAAAAGGCTGGGTGCAGTGGTTCATGCCTATAATCCTAGCACTTTGGGAGCCCAAGGTGGGTGGATCACCTGAGGTCAGGAGTTCAAGGCCAGCCTGGCCAACATGCTGAAACCCTGTCTCTACTAAAAATACAAAAATTAGCTGGGCATGGTGGTGCATGCCTGCAGTCTCAGCTACTCAGGAGGCTGAGGCAGGAGGATTGCTTGAGCCAAGGAGGTGGAAGTGGAGGTTGTAGTGAGCTGAGAGCATACCACTGCACTTCAGTGTGGGTGACGGGAGAAAAACCCTGTCTAAAAAAAAAAAAAAAAGTATATATATATTTATATTGTGTGTGTGTGTATATATATATATATATATGTATACAATTTTGTATATATGTATACAATTTTAAGAAAAAGACTTAGAAGAGATCATTCCTTAAATGTTTATATACACATAAACATATATAAACACATTATATATATGATATTTACATTACACATAATATAATGGTCCAGGTCTGTTTTTTTAAAATTTTCTTTCCTTTTTTTTTTTTTAAGAGACAGGGTCTCATTATGTTGCCCAGGCTGGAGTGCAGTGGCTGTCCACAGGCAAGATCCCACTACAGACCAGCATGGAAGTTTTGACCTGCTCCATTTCTGACCTGGGCCAGTTCACCCCTCCTTAGAAAACTCCAGGTCTGTTTTACACACACACACACACACACACACACGGTGCTAAACATGTCACTCTACATTTTTAAATTCATTGATCTCTTTAAAGCATCTAACTCCATATAGGAGGGGTCTGGCAAACTACAGCCTGTATACAACCTGTTTTTATACCATGAGCTAAGAAGAGTTTTCACATTTTAAAAAGGTTGTAGAATAAAAACAACAATAACAATCACAAAGAAGAATATGAGTAAGTGACTGTATGTGGCCTGTAAAGACTAATGTAACTATTTGCTTCTTTACAGAAAAAGATTGCCTTTGACTTAGAGCACTTCCTCTTTTTTGATATCTTTTTAAAATATCTTTTGGCCAGGTGTGGTGGCTCATGCCTATAATCCCAGCACTTTGGGAGGCCGGGAGGCAGGAGGATCCCTTGAATCCAGGAATTTGAGACCAACCCAGGCAACATAGCGAAACCCTGTCTCTACAAAAACAAAACTAAAAAGTTAGCTGGGTGTGGTGGTACATGCCTGTAGTCCCAGCTACTTGGAAGACTGAGGTGGGAAGATCACTTGAGTCAGGGAGGTCAAAGCTGGAATACTCTGCAAACATGCCACAGCACTGAGACTGGGCAACAGAGACCCCATCTCAAAAATTAATAAATAAAATAAAATGGCCGGGCACGGTGGCTCAAGCCTGTAATCCCAGCACTTTGGGAGGCCGAGGCGGGTGGATCACAAGGTCAAGAGATCGAGACCATCCTGGCCAACATGGTGAAACCCCGTCTCTACTAAAAATACAAAAAATTAGCTGGGCATGGTGGCGCATGCCTGTAATCCCAGCTACTCGGGAGGCTGAGGCAGGAGAATTGCCTGAACCAAGGAGGTGGAGGTTGCAGTGAGCCGAGATCACGCCATTGCACTCTAGCCTGGGTAACAAGAACGAAATTCCATCTCAAAAAATAAATAAATAAATAAATAAAATATCATTTATTTTGTCATTTTTGCCACTTTCTGTGTTTCTTCTGCTAGTTCCTCTTCCTCTGCCTATGTTTCTTAAAGTGACATTTACACTACACAGGATCCATCTTCTCTCTGATTCTATATGTTCTTCCTGGGAAATCTTATCCAGTTCCAAAGCTTCAATGACTAACTATAGGCTAACTCTCCCGCCTTAATCTTTCAGTTGAACTTCAGACCCCTATTTCCAACTAAAAACATTCACTCAAATGCTCCATAGGTGAATTACGTTGAGTGTGCCCAAAACTAAATTCATCATCTTTTCCTTTGTTTTGTATTTTCTTTTCTTTTTTTAAAAGATAGGGTCTTACTCTTGCCCAGGCTAGAGTGGAGAGGCTGATCAGAGTTCACTGTAACCTCAAACTCTGGCCTCATGCTATCCTCCTCCCTCAGTAGCTAGGACTACACACACAAGCCATTCGCCTGGTTAATTTTTTTTTTTATGAGATGGAGTCTTGCTTTGTTGTCCATGCTGGTCTTGAACTCTTGGCCTCAAGCCATCTTCCTGCCTTGGCCTCCCAAAGGTGTTGGGATTACAGGTGTGAGCCACCACTCCCAGCCTCTTTTATTTTCTATCCACCCCACCGTTAAAGTGAGAAACCTCCACATGATCTCTGTGGCTTTAAATGTTTTACTCTTCCTTGCTCAAGTAGGCATTAAATCTGATTGAGTTTACCTATTAAAAAAGATTCTCATTTTGTCTATATCCTATTCTCATACCAATTCACTAGTTCAAGCTTAACGTAAGTCTTTGCCTTCACTTTCTCCCTTCAATCCATTCTAATCTACTAGTCTATAACACCAGAAACTTTTGTTTATTATTATGGCTGTTATTGTCTGATTATAAAAATAATTAGATATCTTTCGGAACAGAGAACTTACTATGCCATTGACCTGTTAAAAGCCTGTATTAGTTCCCCATTGTCTACAGCAAGGGCTGGCAAAACTTCCCATAAAGAGTTAGACAGTAAACATTTTAGACTTATTCAGGCTACATGGTCTCCATGGTAACTACTAACTCAGCAGTTGTGGCTTGAAAGCAGCCAGGGACGATATGTAAATGAATGGGAGTAGCTGTGTTCTAATAAAAGTTTATTTATCAAATAAGGCAACACTCTGAATTTAACCCTTGGCCCTTACTTTTATTCCAGCCTCTAAAAGTCTTGTTCAAGTTCCTACCTCTTTCATAATAGTCTCTGACAGTCCCATACACAAGGATTTTTCTTTTACAAACTCATAGCACTTACTGTACAATTCAAGTAGTTCTCAATCATACAGGACTTTAAAATATCTCACATATCATTTTCTTAAAATGCTCTATAACCTTGCACGTCAATATAATTTCCTAGTTAGACTTTAAATTCTTTAAGATATGTATCACGGGTTATGTATCTCTGGATGTCCTATAATACCTACAAGACAATAAATGTTCACTGAGTGATGGCAAACTGTTAAATCCTATACAGAACAACAGCGTATATTATAAAAGGGGCTGGAGCTGGATGTGGTGGCTCACGCCTACAATCCCATTATTTTGGAAGGCCGAGGTGGGTGAGTCACTTGAGGTCAGGAGTTTGAGACCAGCCTGGCCAAAATGGTGAAATCCCATCTCTACTAAAAATACAAAAAATTAGCCAGGAACGGTGGCATGCACCTGTAGTCCCAGCTACTCAGGAGGCTGAAGTAGAATTGCTTGAACCTGAAAGACGGATGTTGCAGTGAGCTGAGATCACATCACTGCACTCCAGCCTGGATGAGAATTTTCCTGCCTCAGCCTCCCGAGTAGCTGGGATTACAGGCATGCGCCACCACGCCCAGCTAATTTTTTGTATTTTCAGTAGAGACGGGGTTTCACATTGTTGACCAGGATGGTCTCGATCTCTTGACCTCGTGATCCACCCGCCTCGGCCTCCCAAAATGCTGGGATTACAGGTGTGAGCCACTGCACCCGGCCTCAGTTACCATTTCTACAGTTCATTACAAGGGAAGTTTTTCTGAACACATACAGCACTGTAAAAGTGCTCAAAATGTTACCTATTACTGTTTTCAGTTTAGCATGTGTTTTTACAATTAGTATAATAAATACAGAATGCATTTCATCATTTTATTTCCAAAATTTTCCAGTTAAAAACATTTTTCAATAATTCTAATAATAACCTTTGAGGTGGATACTAACATCATCCTATGAGGAAACAAACATAGATGTTAAATAAGTGACTATTAAGTGAAGCAAGAGTCAATCTAGTTACAGAAATATTTTTAAAATATGTATTTCTGGCCAGGTGTAGTGGCTCACCCCTATAATCCCAGCACTTTGGGAAGCTGAGGCTGGTGGATCACGAGGTCAGGAGTTTGAGAGCAGCCTGGCCAACATGACAAAACCCTGTCTCTACTAAGCTACAGAAACTTACAAAACTACTCTACTCTACTAAACTACAAAGATTAGCTGGGTGTGATGGCAGATGCCTGTAATCCCAGCTACTCAGGAGGCTGAGGCAGGAGAATCTCTTGAACTCAGGAGGTGGAGGTTGCAGTGAGCAGAGACTGTGCCACTGCACTCCAGCCTGGGCCACAAGGGCAAGATTTCCTTTCAAAAAAAAAAGTATTTCTAGACTGAATGTTAGCAATATTTTTAAATAGTCCAGTTGGACCACATATTTTTTAAAATGTGTTAATGTGCTTAAATTTAGACAGTAGTGTTGTAGGGGTAATAAGAAGAACCTTTGGAGAGTTTTTACCTTAATTTCTCCATATCGAAAGGGATTTTGTGCATCTCGGGCCAAAACAGTACTGTTCCCCCTGATCTGACCTGCAGTCACCATTCCTTTCATGGTTACCATGACCACTGTTTCATTAGAAGAAGTCCAGGTAAAGTTGCCACTGCCACCCTCTACCTGTGAAAACGTACGACATTACATTTAATTACAATAGGAAGAAAACGAAATTTAAATGAAAATGTAAAACTTGACTGGTGAAATAAAGTTTACAAAATAATAACATAATTTAATAAATTATTTTTGGACACATTAGAAACTCTGACACTAGGCTGGGTGCGGTGGCTCACGCCTGTAATCCCAGCACTTTAGGAGGCTGAGGTGGGCAGATTACCTGAGGTCAGGAGTTCAAGACCACCCCAGCCAACATGTCGAAACCCCATCTCTACTAAAAATACAAAAATTAGCTGGTCACGGTGGCATGTGCCTGTAATCCCAGCTGCTCTGGAGGCTGAAGCAGGAGAATCGTTTGAACCTGGGTGTTGGAGGTTGCAGTGAGCCGGGATTGTACCATTACACTCCAGCCTGGGCAACAAGAGCAAAACTCAGGGAAAAAAAAGGGAACCGTGACACTATAGTAAAGCAGCTTAATGGGCAAGAGAAATACTAAAGAGAGGCAAAGTAATGGTAGTTTCACAAAATATCAAAAAAAGACACAATAGAATTTTATAAAAACTCACCAGGAAAAGATATTGGGAAGAGAGACAGAAAGCACTATAACCAAGTCTTGTTATAGATGACATTATTCAAGAGTATAATTTTGATTGTCACCAAAACCCAAGTTATATTCTTAGGATTGGGAGGAAATAAACTTGACATTAATAAATTTTCTTTCTTTTTTCTTTTTTTTTTTAAAGACGGGGTTTCACCATGTTAGCCAGGCTGGTCTTGAACTCCTGACCTCAGGTGATCCGTCCGCCTCGGCCTCCCAAAGTGCTGAGATTACAGGCGTGAGCCACCGCGCCCGGCCAATAAATTTTCAATAAATTAATCTATCAGAGACACCAGCTTATCTCTTTGTGAAGCCTTATAGGACACCATACCTGTACTTTATAATGATATAACATTCCCATAGGATGATGAGGAAATGCCAGAAATTTGGGTGTAAGAATGATGGGAAAATAAATCTTCACTTCTTGTTGGTGTTTGATTAGAATTTTTTTAGGCGGAATATCTTTATTCTAAAGAACAGGAAAAAAGGAGCAAAACATATGTTATAAGGACTGTTCTTATAATCCACATTTATATATTCAAAATATCAGCAAAATGGTATGCTCATAAACTACTCAACCAGTTTCTATCTATAAAAGAAATAAAGAAATACATATTTCTCTTCATTAAAGAAGCATAGCTACTATGGTTCAATAATAATGAAAAGGATTTTGCGCAGGGGCCATGCTAATCTTCTCTGTATCGTTCCAATTTTTAGTATATGTGCTGCCGAAGCGAGCACAGGATTTTGCTACACTTAAACTAATTATCACAATCACGGAAAATAGTTTAAAATTCCCTAAAATAAAAGAGGCTTTAAAAAAAAATTCAACATAGGAAGGGAAATCATAGTTTCAGAAGAAAGACTCCTGGACATCCATAAACTGTAAAGGCAAAGGGATACTATAAGCTATTCAAAAGAAATGGAGAATATTTAAACGTGCTGAGGTAAGAAATTCCCCTCATACTTAAAAACAAGCAAAACCTACCAATGGTTACAGAGGGCCAACTTGTTGCATAAGGTTCTACAGGGCTGGCCAGGCACGGTGGCTCACGCCTGTAATCCCAGCACTTTGGGAGGCCAAGGTGGGTGCATCACCTCAGGAGTTTGAAACCAGCCTGGCCAACATGGTGAAACCCCATCTCTACTAAAAATACAAAAATTTAGCTGGGCATGGTGATGCATGCCTGTAATCCCAGCTACTTGGGAGGCTGAGGCAGGAGGATTGCTTGAACCTGGAAGGCAGAAGTTGCAGTGAGCCGAGATCGTGCCATTGCACTCCAGCCTGGGCAACAAGAGTGAAACTCCATCTCAAAATAATAACAATAATAAGGTTCTATAGGTCTGACTGTGGGATTGAGTATGTGTATGGATTTTGGTACATGGGGGGTCCTGAAACTAGTTCCCCACATAAACTGAGAGACAACTCTATTTAGAAGTGCATTATTAAACTTCTAAATAGGTATTTTTTAAAATCCCCTTATTGTTTTAATCACACGACTGCAGATAAAATATAATAATCTGGTAGTAAGAGGTTCTTCAAGGACACTCAGAGAAACTTTTAGATCTCTTTTTTTTTTTTTTGAGACGGAGTTTCGCTCTTGTTACCCAGGCTGGAGTGCAATGGCGCGATCTCGGCTCACGGCAACCTCCGCCTCCTGGGTCCAGGCAATTGTCCTGCCTCAGCCTCCCGAGTAGCTGGGATTACAGGCACGCGCCACCATGCCCAGCTAATTTTTGTATTTTTAGTAGAGACGGGGTTTCACCTCGTTGACCAGGGTGGTCTCGATCTCTTGACCTCGTGATCCACCCGCCTCAGCCTCCCAAAGTGCTGGGATTACAGGCATGACTACCGCGCCTGGCCACTTTTAGATCTCTTATGGTGATCTTGTGCTGGGAATTTAAAGCCCTGATCTAACAATTTTCTTTCCCCACATTATCCAGCACATTTAGCAACAGTAATCAATCATATTAAATCCCTTACTTTCACTACAATGTTTTATGGCAGTGACCACTTGGTTACCTAAAGCTTTGCCTTCTCTATGCACTTTACTGCAGTGTCTACAGGTAATAATTTAAACAGCTTTTTTGCTATTGCGTGCTGTGGAATACCAGTGCTCACTTTATCACTGGAAACAGGCTCATTAAATCATTTAAGTCTAATATCAGAGAGCCCAGAACCAATTTGGAGCACCTATCTATGATAACGAGACTAAAATATGGCCCCCAAAGATCTCTGACTCCTGTTATTCATCCCCTTGTATAGTAGCCATTACGTAATATACATTGTCTTTGGATTGGTCTAAATAACCAATAGAATATGGCAGAAATGTTTATATTAAAAAAGAAGAAAGATATAACCCAACAATCCATCATAAAATTCCTCCACCATAGAAACTTTAAGAGCTGAAAATGGTGGCTCATGCCAGGAATCCCAGCACTTTGGGAGGCTGAGGTGGGTGGATCACTTGAAGTTAGGAGTTTAAGACCAGCCTGGCCAACATGGTGAAACCCTGTTTCTATTAAAAATACAAAAATTAGCTGGACATGATGACAGGTGCCTGTAATCCCAGCTATTTGAGAGGCTGAGAAAGACCCCTGAGAATCACTTGAACCTGGGAGGCAGAGCTTGCAGTGAGCCAAGATTGTACCACTGCACTCCAGCCTGGGTAACAGAGTAAGACTCTGTCTGTCTCAAAAAGACTAAACAAAACCAAAAATTAGCCAGGTATGGTGGCATGCATCTGTAGCCCCAGCTACTCAGGAGGCTAAGGTGGGAGGATTGTTTGAGCCTGGGAAGTTGAGGCTGCAGTGAGCCGTGGTTGCACCATTGCACTCCAGCCTGGCTGACAAAATGAGGCCCTCTCTCAAAAAGAAAAAAAAAATGTTTTAATGCAACTTGAAACCCCAAATAATATATACACAATGACCACAAATGCAGACATTTTTAGGTATAATAACACAGATTAGAACAGAAAATTTGTAGCGGTATAAACTTACAGAGTGTGCTGTTTATCCATTTCTTTATTATTGTGAAAGATACAGGTGGCATATGTTATTTATCTGCTTGCTAATCAACAAATCAGTCAAGCTTCTTTGGTGTGCTTAAAATACAAACACTGTCTTTTTAATTCCTACCTGGTAAATGATGAAGGTCAAGGATGCATTTATTACCACAGCACCATCTTTCAGGGCTTTTACTACGTGGTAAGATCCATTCACAGTAGTTAGTTGCTCTTCAAAGTACTCCTTAGGAAAGTTGTGTGTAATCCTGAGATTCTGAAAATCAGTCCCACAGTAACACAAACCTGAAGATATGTTCTTTCCCTGAAGCCATCTTAATCCCAAAGCATATATAAAACTGTAGCTATGCATTCATGGAATAGAGATAAAAACAAAACTCTCGCTGTCCCTCATGGAAATTCTAAGTTGGGGCGATATAATTTTAAAATGGTACTAGTTTTTGAAAGATCTATCAATGGCAAGCATTAGGAATAGCAAGAGTCAAAGCTTAGGCAAATTTTAGTGTAATTTTTACCATTTTATAAATTGGCAGTTCTCAGGATAAAATAAGAACTCTGAGTACAATATTTCACATCTAATATTCATGCTACTACTCTCATCACTACAAAACCCTGGTAACTATCTCTGATGTGAAGTTGTAGAATGTGGACACCCTCCAAAGTGTTATCACTGGTACTCGTTTCAATTCTTTTCTATAATTCTGACCAAATTATATATCTTTTACTTCTGATTTAGCATTCCTCAAGAACAGAACTAGCTGGGCATGGTTGCTTATGCCTTTAATTCCAGTTGGGGTAGGAGGATTGCTTAAGCTAGAAGTTGGAGGCTGCAGTGAGTTATGATCACACAATTCCAGCTCTGGTGACAGAAAGAGACTGACTCTCTTTAAAAAAAAAAAAAAGGGCTGCGTGTGGTGGTTCACACCTGTAATCACAGCACTTTGGGAGGCCAAAGGGGGTGGATCATGAGGTCAGGAGATTGAGACCATCCTTGCCAACATGGTGAAGCCCCGTCTCTACTAAAAATACAAAAATTAGCTGGGCATGGTGGCGTGTGCCTGTAATCCCAGCTACTCCAAGAGGCTGAGGCAAGAGAATCTCTTGAACCAGGGAGTCAGAGGTTGCAGCGAGCCAAGATCGCCCCACTGCACTCCAGCCTGGTGACAGAGCACAACTCGTCTCAAAAATTTAAAAAATTTTAAAAAAGAATAATGGAATTAATGATAATAATAAATTAGCAAGTTGCCTTTCCAAAGGTAAAAATCTAGAATCAAAGAAAGAAAGAGGGCTTGGATTTTTGAGCCAGGAAGATGGCCCACTGCATATCTTATGTATCTCATCCCTATAAGAAGCTCAGAAAAATACAAAAGAGTAACTCACGTCTGAAATATAGACTTTTGTGCTGCTTCTATCAAAGACTTCTACAGTAATGACATACAACTGTCCCACCTCTAGACTCCATTGATTTCCAGGCTGGACAGTGAAACCTATACACAAATCAAGAAACAGAAATATTAGAAGAGGCCAACATTTTTTTACAGGTTGGACACTGAAACCTATATACAAACCAAGAAACAAAAATATTAGAAGAGGCTAATATTTTTCTACAATGAATTTAAAAATACAATCTTTATAAAGCTATTCAAACAGCAAAATTTACTAATAGATGGAGATGGTTTCCAAAGTAGATTCTTTCTTCCTTCCTTCTTTCCCTCCCTCCCTCCCTCCTTTCTCTTTCCTTTCTGTTTCTTTCTTTCTTTCCTTTCTTCCTTCTTTTTCTTTCTTCCTTTCTTTTCTTACTTTATTTTTTTGACAGAGTCTTGCTTTGTTGCCCAGGCTGGGGTGCAGAGGTGATCTTGGCTTACTGCCACCTCCACTTCCTGGGTTCAACTAATTCTTGGGCACACCCTCGTCCTCCCAAATAGCTGGGATTATAGGTGTGACACCACCATGCTCAGCTAATTTTTGTGATTTTAGGAGAGATGGGGTTTTGCCATGTTGGCCAGGCTGGTCTCAAATTCCTGGCCTCAAGTCATCTGCCTGTCTCAGCCTCCCAAAGTGCTGGGATTACAGGCCTGAGCCACTGTGCCTGGTCTAAAGTAGATTTGTTTTGTTTTGTTTTCTTGAGACAGGGTCTCACTATCACAGATGCTAGAGTACAGTGGTGTGATCCTGACTTACCTCAGCCTTGACCTCCTGGGCTCAGGCGATCCTTCCACCTCAGTCTTCTAAGTAGCTGGGACTACAAGCTTAGGCCACTGTACCTGGCTAATTCTTCTATTTATAGTAGAGACAGGGTTTCCCCATGTTGCCCACACTGGTCTTAAACTCCTGGGCTCAAGTAATATGCCAGCCTCAGCCTCCCAAAGTGCTGGCATTAGACATGAAACACTGCACCTGGCTCTCCAAAGTAGATCTTTTAGTTCTTTCTCTCAATATAAGGCTGGGCCTGGTGGCTCAAGCCTATAATTCTAACACTTGGGAGGCCAGGGAGGGAGAATTGCTTGAGTCCAGGAGTTTGAGACCAGCCTGGGCAACACAGCAAGATCTCACCTCTACAAAAAATTTAAAAATTAGCTGAGTGTGGTGGCTCACAGCTATAGCTCCAGTTACTGATGAGGCTGAGGTGGAAGGATCACTTAAGCCCAGGAACTGGAGGCTATGGTGAGCTGTGATTATACCACTGCATTCCATCCTGGACAAGAGAGCCAGACATTGTCTCAGAAAAAAAAAAAGAAAAAATTATATAATAATTTAGGGTTCCAAAAATCCTGGTTTAACTTAGCTCATCTCAGGTATAAAGAAGCACTTTAGGCTGGCATGGTGGTTCATGCCTGTAATCCTAGCACTTTGGGAGGTTGAGGAGAGCAGATCCCTTGAGCTCAGGAGTTCAAGACTAGCCTAGGCACTGTGGCAAAATCCCATCTTTACAGAAAACATAAAAATTAGCCAGGCATGGTGGTATAACTGTAGTCCCAGCTACTTGGGAGGCTAAGGTGTGAAGACTGCTTGAGCCCAAGAGGCAGAGGTTGCAGTCAGCTTAGACTGTGCCACTGTGTTCCAGTCTGGGTGACAGAGCAAGACCCTGTCTCAACAACAAAAAAAACCAGCACCAACAAAAAAAGGAAACACTTTCACTTATCTCTGTAGACAAGAAGAAACTAGACTTTTGGCTCATTCTTAATGTGTCAGGCAATATTTTAGCTTCTTTCAGTCCTTCTCATTGTTTCATATGACATATGAGCATTAAGATTATTTTTCCTTGTATAAAGTCTCTTTTCCTAGCCTCAAAATTGTATTACATGGATTTTCATATTTTCTCACAATCTGTTTCAACATGCTTCACTCTTGTGATAGCATTTAATCAGAACAATTTGATTAAACATGTCAAAGTAAGGTAGAATTTGAAATTCCGTAAGTCTCAGAATGAAAGTTGAAGAAACACTCTAGTTTTTAATGCACTCATTTTAGAGAAATCATTTAAACTATCCACCTTTCTGAAAAGTATGATCTAAGATACCTAAAAATCCAGGCTCTACAACATATATTGTGCAATTTGGGAGTCCAGACACAGATCGCATATGAACACCTTAATTTTTGCTTAAGGAAATTATGTGAGCCAGAGTTGGGTAAAAAGGAAAGGTACCAAAGGAGAAAAACAAACAAATGCACAAATGAAAACAAACAAATTCCTATCTTTTATTATCCTCTGGAAAGCCAAAACTTAAATGTGTATACTTCTGTGAAAAGTCTGAGGGACTCTCAGTCACCTTATGAGTCAGATATTCTTGAATTTCAAATTTAAGGAAGGATAGAAAGGGAGGAAAAAAAGATCATGCTTTGTGCTTTTAATATTAATGTAGCTGCAGAACCCTTTTTCCAAATAAACACCTACACAGGAGCCCAGTATGGAAGCAGGGCAAAGTAGCTCTGTTCTGGAGGAAGAGACCTTCTGGCTGAAGGGATGAACAGTGTTGATGGACGAAGAGGGAGAGGCATGACTTGCCATCCAGCAATGTGCCTAGAACTCCACAGACAGTTTCAAAATCACTAGTTGATTTTCTTTTTTTTTTTTTTTTTTTTTTTTTTGAGACGGAGTTTCGCTCTTGTTACCCAGGCTGGAGTGCAATGGCGCAATCTCGGCTCACCGCAACCTCCGCCCCCTGGGTTCAGGCAATTCTCCTGCCTCAGCCTCCTGAGTAGCTGGGATTACAGGCACGCGCCACCATGCCCAGCTAATTTTTTGTAATTTTTAGTAGAGACGGGGTTTCACCATGTTGACCAGGATGGTCTCGATCTCTTGACCTCGTGATCCACCCGCCTCGGCCTCCCAAAGTGCTGGGATTACAGGCTTGAGCCACCGCGCCCGGCCACTAGTTGATTTTCTATTATCTGCAGCAAATGTTTAACACCAAAACGTTTCTGCTCACCAAAGATACTTCTGGGTCACTTATACTGCCATTCCACCACTACCATTTCAGATAATTCTGGCAAGAACATAAATTTATTTCAGTATCAGTCTATATAGAATCTAATTAAGACTATGCTTTGTTCTAAAAAAAATACTACATCCAAAAGCTAAGAATAAATTACTTTTGCTCAGAGAAATACATAATTGGCCAGGTGGGGTGGCTCATGTTTGTAATCCCAGCACTTTGGGAGGTTGAGGCAGGTGGATCAACTGAGGTCAGGAGTTTGAGACCAGCCTGGCCAACATGGTGAAACCTCATCTCTACTAAAAATATCAAAATAAACCAGGCCTGGTGGCATGCACCTGTAATCCCAGCCACTTGCGAGGCTGAGGCAAGATAATTGCTTGAACCTGAAAGACGGAGGTTGCAGTGAGCTGAGATCTTGCCACTGCACTGCAGCCTGGGCAACAGAGTGAGGCTTCATCTAAAAATAAAAAGAAATACATAACTGACATAGCTAAACAGAAAATACTCAATCTGAAATACACTAATTTAGAATGGGCACAGTAGCTCATGCCTGTAATCCCAACACTTTGGGAGGCTGAGATGAGAGGATTGCTTGAGCCCAGGAATTCAAGACCTGCCTGGCCAACATAGTGAAGCCCCATCTCTAAAAAAAAAAAAAATTGAAGGCCAGGCACAGTGGCTCAAGCCTGTAATCCCAGCACTTTGGGAGGCTGAGGTGGGTAGATCACGAGGTCAAGAGATTGAGACCATCCTAGTCAACATGGTGAAACCTCGTCTCTACTAAAAATACAAAAAATTAGCTGGGCATGGTGGCATGTGCCTGTAAGCCCAGCTACTCAGGAGGCTGAGGCAGGAGAATTGCTTGAACCCAGGAGGCGGAGGTTGCAGTGAGCCGAGATCATGCCATTGCATTCCAGCCTGGGTAACAAGAGTGAAACTCCGTCTCAAAAAAAAAAAAAATTGAAAAACTGGCTAGGCATGGTGGCTCATGCCTACAATCCCAGCACTTTGGGAAGCCGAGATAGGTGGATTGCCTAAGTTCAGGAGTTTGAGACGAACCTTACCAACATGGTGAAACCCTGTCTCTACTAAGAATACAAAAATTAGCTGGGAGTGGTGGTGGGTGCCTATAATCTCAGCTACTCAGGAGGCTGAGGCAGAAGAATTGCTTGAACCTGGGAGATAGAAGTTGCAGTGAGCAGACATTGCACCATTGTGCTGTCACCCAGGCTGGAGTGCAACAGCATGATCTTGGCTTACTCAACTACCACCTCCCAGGTTCAAGCGATTCTCCTGCCTCAGCCTCCCAAGCAGCTTGGACTATAGGCACGTGCTACCATACCTGGCTATTTTTTGTATTTTTATTAGAGACAGGGCTTTGACATGTTGGCCAGGCTGGTCTCAAACTCCTGACCTCAGGTGATCCACCTGGCTCAGCCTCGCAAAGTTGGGATTACAGGTATGAGCCACTGCACCTGGTCCAGCTTTTTTTTTTTTTTTTTTTTTTTTTTTTTTTTGTGAGACAGGGTCTCACTCTGTCACTACAGGCCTGCACCATCACATCTGGCTAACCTTTTACTTTTTGTAGAGATAGGGTCTCACTATGTTGCCCAGACTGATCTTAAACTCCTGGACTCAAGAAATCCTCCTGCCTCAGCCTGTCAAAGTGCTAGGATTACATGCATGAGCCATTGTGCCTGGCCTAAAGCAAATCTTCTAAATACTTTATGGGTAACTCTGTGCCAAACTTAGGTTTAGTTCTGATATGTACTTTATATCAGAATATTATATATTAGTTATATATATATATAATATATATATTAGTTATTATATATTATATATATATTAGTTCTGATATGTACTTTATATCAGAATATTATATATATAATATTCATAAAATGTAAGAGCTAGAAAGAAAGTCAGAAATAACATCCCCTTCATTTTACAAACATCTCAACAGATCTCTACAACAATTCATTCTTCTGATATTGGGATAAGATATCAGAATAAGATCTAAGCCTTCTATCTGCATTCTAAATCTCATTTTCTGTTGCCTCTCAGAAAACATGCTCCATCAACTGGCTCCCTTTTTCCCCTTATCTCTACCATCTTTCTCTGTTTAATTAAGAGAAACGTTCAAGTTTTTCCAATCTTAGAAAAAAAAAGTCGTCCTTGTGTCTTTTTCAAAATTCTACTTTGTTTTGTCCTTGTGAAAGCCAAGCTGATTTTACTGACAAAGTGACCCAAGACCTCCTAGTTACCACAAGCTTTCAGTCTTTATCTTGACATCACTACCAGATCTGACGTGTTGAACAATCTTCTTCTCTTTGTAAACTTCTAATTTGGTTATCAGGAAACTCCTCTCTCTGGTTTTTCTTTCTTTTTTTTTTTCAGTTGAGACTCATTTCACTCGTTTCCCAAACTAGAGTACAGTGGTGCCATCTCGGCTCACTACAACTTCTGCCTCCCAGGTTCAAGTGATTCTCCTGCCTCAGCCTCCTGAGTAGTTGGGATTACAGGCATGTACCACCATGCTCTGCTAATTTTTTTTTAATTTAATTTTTATTTTTTTTAAAGATGGGGTTTTACCATGTTGGTCAGGCTGGTCTTGAATTCCTGACCTCAGGTGATCCACCCGCCTTGGCCTCCAAAGTGCTTGGATTACAGGCGTGAGCCACCATGCCCGGCCTAATTTTTATATTATTATTAGAGAAGGAGTCTCCCCAAGTTGGCCAGCCTGGTCTCAAACTCCTGACCAGTAATCCACCTGCCTCAGCCTCCCAAAGTGCTGGGATTACAGACATAAGCTGCCACACCCATCCTTGGTTTTTCTATAATACTACATTTTAAGCATTCTTTCAGATCCTCCTTACAGGTCCTCTTTTTCCATCTGAACCATAAAAAGCCAGCATTACACAATTCCATCTTTGGCCAAATTATCTCACTCTATATAATTTCCGTAGGTGATTTTATCTACAATAGCTCCAACTATCACCTACCTATAAACTAATTTTCAGTTATCTATCTTGATCTTCCATCTTTCTCCTCCAGAGGCATAAAATTTCTTTTGGGATGTCTACCTCACAAGCACTTCAATTTAACATGTGAAACACTGAACTTGCTATCTTTTTCCTTAAAACTGCTCTTTCTCTTATATTCTCCATCTCCATGAACAGTTCCACCAGCTACCCTATGCCAGGTGCTGGAACAAATCATGAATAGTCACTATCCATATCCTCAAAAAAGACATATAAATGGACAAATACAATGTATTTTCATATTTGATACTTTGGAAAAAAGAAGAAGAAGAACTGAAAATAGAGGGGGAAAAAAGAACATTTAAGTTTACCTGGGGAATTCAGGAAAGTGTCTGACACCAATTGGGGCTCAATAAATATTGAATATTTACTGAGTTTATTTTTTAAGTATAATTATATTTATTGAAAAATGTCCTAGGTGCCTTAAAATGACTAAAAAGTAAACAATATGGGATCAATAACTCTCCTTAATGTGTGCTAGACAAATAATATAGCCAGCTGACTAACGCTATTATACAAAAACCCGATAGAATTTTTTTTTTGGTGTTAGCAACTCTTCTTCAAGTGGCAGTGTACAGCAGCTGCAGAGGTACTGCTCCTTTCGAAGCAGGACTACCCCATAGACAGTGTTCCCAGAATAGAGACATGCTTATTCAGAATAAGCCTACTAGGCCCTACCTAATCTGCCCCTCCGCTACTCTATTACTTCTACTATTTCCTGATTCACTGCACTTCAGCTTCACTGTCTTCCGTACTCTTTTCTACTCACGTCAAATATGTTCCTACTTCAGAACCGTTGCAATTGCCCTTTCATTTTCCTAGAAGTCTTTCACCAATTATCCACATGGCTTACTGCACCAGTGTCGCCTTATCAGAGAGGACTTCTCTAACTATGCTAGATAAAGACTGGGTGTGGTGACTCATACCTGTAATCCAAGCACTTCGGAGGCCTAAGCAGGATGTGTTCACTTTTTTTTTCTTTTTCTTTTGAGACGGAGTTTCACTCTTGTTACCCAGGCTGGAGTGCAATGGTGCGATCTCGGCTCACCACAACCTCCGCCTCCTGGGTTCAGGTAATTCTCCTGCCTCAGCCTCCTGAGTAGCTGGGATTACAGGCACGAGCCACCGTGCCCAGCTAATTTTTGGCATTTTTAATAGAGACGGGGTTTCACCATGTTGACTAGGATGGTCTCAATCTCTTGACCTCGTGATCCACCCGCCTCAGCCTCCCAAAGTGCTGGGATTACAGGAGTGAGCCACCGCACCCGGCCCAGGATGTGTTCACTTAAGGCCAGGAGTTCAACCAGCCTACTCAGTCTAGCAAGACCCTATTTCTACAAAATTAGTATGGCATGGTGGTATGTGCCTATAGTCTCAGCTACTCAGAAAGCCGAGGTGGGAGGATTGCTCAAGGCTACTGTTTGTTATGATCACACCTCTGCACTCTAACCTGGGCAGTTAGACCTACCTCTAAAAAAAGGAAAAAAAAAAAAAAGAATCTGGCTGGGTGTAGTGGCTCATACCTGGAATCTTAGCACTTTGGGAGGCCAAGGCAGGTCAATTACTTAAGTCCAGGAGTTCAAGACCAGCATGGGCAACATGGTGAGACCTTGTGTCTACAAAAAAATACAAAAATTAGCTGGGTGTGGTGGCACATGCCTGTGGTCCCAGCTACTTGGGAGGCTGAGCTGGGAGGATCACTTAAGCCTGGGAGTTTACAGGTTGCAGTGAGCCAAGATTGCACTAATGCACTCCAGCCTGGGCAAAAGAGCAAGACCCTGTCTCTATAAAAAAAATATTTAAAAAAAAAATCTAACTATGCTGGATAAAATGGTAGTTTGTATACCCAGAGCTTAGGATAATGTTGAGCATATAGTAGAGATATAATAGATATTTGCTGAATGAATTTCTTTCAGATTCAAATATTCAAAAAAATTTCCAAATAAAACACTTAGAGATGGAGTCCAAATCATGTTTCAATTTTCCGAGAATTTAAATCTTCATTCTTTTTTGTTTTCACTGACTATAACAGATCTCTGTGTACCCTTCTTTGTTCAATCCTTGAATAGCAGGTTTAGTGAATTTTTAAACATTGCTCTCAACACAATTTTAAAAATATTAGTTAAACATCTACTGCAGACAATACCATCTTTTCTCAATTATCATATACAAATAGGAAAAAACAAATTAAATTCTCACATGTTCTTCGAAACTCCGTTTTCCCCTAATTAAAATTTTTAAATTTCCCTAATTACAATTTGATGGAGGTTGCAAAAAGCACTGAAGTCAGTAGATCCCAAGTTCCAACTATTCTTCTTTTCTCTACCTACTCTGTTAGAAATTATGACAATAATAATTTATAATTCTTTGTTAAAAATAAAACCTATAGAAAAATACTGTAGGAGTATTATAATCACTCTTAATAAGTTATTTTACCAAAGAACATGTCTAGCATGCTCTAGGAAGTATAGACTGGCAGCTAAAACTTGCACAAAAGGATACTTTTATGGACAAAGACAAGATTAGTCTGGCCCAGTTGTAAGGCAGTCACCACGGCTGTTTTGTCATCCAGTAAAGCCACTTTCTTAGAATGAGAACCATTAAATGCAACTCTATGGTCTTGCAATTCCAGTGTATAATGTTCCAGGGGAAATTTCACCTCTGTAAGACATGAAAGATATATAAATGTAATGACAGTAGTCATTACAGTAGATAATGATGTATTCTTGATCATAAAGAAATGATCAGGAAGCAGACATAAAATGAGAGTATGATCTGCTTCTAATGTTTTTCCTGCTATGATGAATTTCTACATGTAATCATTTGAGGGTAATATATGAGTTAAAATATATTGTTGGAGGCCAGGTGTGGTGGCTCATGCCTGTAATCCCAGCACTTTGGGAGGCCAAGGCGAGCAGATCAGCTGAGGTCATGAGTTTGAGACAAGCCTGGCCAACATGGTGAAACCCTGTATCTACTAAAAACATAAAAATTCGCTGGGCATGATGGTGCATGCCTGTAATCCCAGTTATTTGGGAGGCTGAGGCAGGAGATTCCTTTGAACCCAGGAGGCAGAGGTTGCAGTGAGCTGAGATTGCACCATTGCACTCCAACCTCGGTGACAGAGCAAGAAGCCATCTCAAAAAATATACATATCTGGTATTGCCTGTATTCTTAAAAACTAGTGAACCAAGTGGCAGGAGGGGTCATTATTAGTAATGAAAAAACTAATGTTAATGGAATGTAACTTTTAGTATCAATAGAATATTAAGTTTTTAGTCGATGAATTGGGTTTCTCAAGGAACAACTTTTACAAAGATCATTGCAATGACCGTTCAAGTCCCTTCTGGTAAAGCATCTTCACTTGCCCTTTAAAAGCTAGTAAAGTTTTTGTTGTTTTATTTATTTAGTTATTTTTAGGGATGGGGTCTTTGGCCTGGTACAGTGGCTCATGCTTGTAATCTCAGCTCTTTGGGAGGGAGGCCAAGGTGGGAGAATCACTTGAGACAAGGAGTTCAAGACCAGCCTGGATAATATAATGAGATCCCATCTCTACCAAAAAAAAAAAAAAAAGGAGGTGGATATGGTGGCAGGAACCTGTAGTTCCAGCTACTTGGGATGCCAAGATGGGAGGATCACTTGAGCACAGGAGTTTGAGGTTACAGTGAACTGTGATTATGCCACTGTACTACAACCTGGGCAACAGAGGGAGATCCCCTCCATCTCAAAAAATAAAAATAAATAAATATGATTAAATTAAAAAGAGGTGGGGGATCTTGCTCTGTTGCCTAGGTTGGTCTTGAACTTCTGGCCTCAAGCAATCTTCCTGCCTCAGCTTCCAGAGTAGCTGGAATTACAAGTGAGAACTACCATGCTTGGCCAGTTGTTGTTTCGAGATGGAGTCTCACTCTGTAGCCCATGCTGGAGTGCAGTGGCACGAACTTGGCTCACTGCAACCTCCACCTCCTGGGTCCCAGTTAAAGAAATTCTCCTGCCTCAGCCTCCCAAATATCTGGGATTACAGGCATGTGCCACCATGCCTAGCTAATTTTTGTATTTTTAGTAGAGACAGCGTTTCACCATGTTGGCCAGGCTGGTTTGAACTCCTGACCTTGTGATATGCCTGCCTTGGCCTTTCAAAGTGTTGGGATTACAGGTGTGAGCCACTGCACCTGGCCTACTTGTTGTTTTAATAGAGAATTCAGATGCCTCTTGCAACTGAAGCTAAGCAGCTGAACTATGCCATTAATATGTTCAAGATAGGGAGCTATCTCTGTCTAATATTAATTAAATATAGCAATTAATACTCTATAACAAAATCTAAAAACCCAAATATATTTCATATGTAAAGTGGAGTTGCTGATCTTGTCAGCAGAAAAGATTCGGGAAATGCGAGTCATCATAGGAGAAAAAATAAATCACCTTACCTGTCATTCTCCCTTGAACCATTTTTGCAACTTGGTATTTAATATATGCTCCTACTAAGAGATAAATATCATGGGATGGTATAAGAAATATATTCTCCAAAACAAGCAGACGTATCAATGCTGCTACCACTTTCTAAAAGAGATAGGAAAAAAACCAGTTTACATGGACAGAATTCTCACAGTCATCTTTCTTGTTAAAAGCTTACTACTTTCAAATTTCTTTAAAAATTTTTTTTCAAAAAAGCTTTCCTAATCACAAGTCATAATTTCAGCTACCCTTAAAAAGTGATCATGAATCTTAATACCTTATTAACTTTCTAAGGTACTCAGACTAAGAATAGAAAAGTTTTCTAAAAGAGAAAAAGTAGGTAAATAGAAAGGCAAGTATGCTGAAATGAGAAAAGGTAAAACTCAGTTGTGGAACCCAGAAATTCTCTTTTTTTTTTTGAGACAGAGTCTCGCTCTGTTGCCAGGCTGGAGTGCAGTGACTCAATCTCGACTCAATGCAATCTCTACCTCCCATGTTCAAGTGATTTCCTGCCTCAGCCTCCCGAGTAGCTAAGATTACAGGTGCACACCACCACACCCAGACAATTTTTTTGGTATTTTTGGTAGAGATGGGGTTTCACCATTTTGGCCAGGATCTCCTGACCTCATGATCCGCCAGCCTCCCAAAGTGCTGGGATTATACCGAGCTCGGCCTGAACGCAGAAATTCTTTTAGCCAACCTCCAATTAACTGACTTGCTAGATTAAGTTACTTTCTGCTCCCTGTTGAACACATTGATTTCTGTGAAGATTTACCCAATGCAAGGCTGGTAGGCTTCTCTCTAGGAGGTCCACACACTCATGTTCTTGCCATTGAATTAAATGCTTACCAAAAGACATTTGTTTTTCCCAAATCTATTTATGCAAGTTGTGCTTGTAATTATAATTGCATTAAAACAAAACTATAGAGAACTGTTGTTTCTACTAAAAATTTAAATGTTTTGGCTGGGCACAGTGGCTCATGCCTGTCATCACAGCACTTTGGGAGACCGAGGCAGGCAGATCGCCTGAGGTCAGGAGTTCAAGATCAGCCTGGCCAACATGGAGAAACCCTGTCTCTACTAAAAATACAAAAATTAGCTGGGCATATTTGGCAGCTACCTGTAATCCCAGCTACTCAAGAGGCTGAGGCAGGAGAATTGCTTGAACCTGGAAGGCAGAGGTTGCAGTGAGAGGAGGTTATGACATTGTTCTCCAGCCTGGGTGACAGAGCAAGACTCTGTCTCAAAAAAAAAAAAAAAAAAATTAAATGTTACCGAAAAAAGTGAAAGGCAAGCTGCTAATATATACTATCAATTAGGTGTAAGTGAAAAATGTAAAATATTAGGGAAAATCCTTTAAAATATAAAATTCTGCACTCAAATTCTTCCTGCATCTAAATTTTCACTTGACTAGAAATTAGGGCTGTGGCAGTGACTCACACCTGTAATCCTAGCATTTTGGGAGGCTGAGGCAGGTGGATAACTTGAGGCCAGAAGTTCAAAACCAGCCTGGCCATCACAGCGAAACCCTGTCTCTACTAAAAATACAAAAGTTACTGTGCATGGTGGCACACACCTATAATCCCAGATAGTCGGGAGGCTGAGGCACAAGAATCACTTGAACCCTCCCAACCCCCAAAAAGGAAGAAATTAGAAACTGTAGTTTATGCAAGAAAGTGTATGTAGATTTCAAATCAGTGAACTAATGGTCAAAGAAAGGCCTTTCACCTACATCAAGGATTGCTGAATAAACTGTAGTTATATCTTTTAAGAGAAAATGCCAGTCACATTTGTAATTGTAATCAGGCAATAAAATGTTTAAGAAAGATAATTTTTTTTAATGCTTACCCACTTCAAATAACTTTTTCAATTAAATGACCAATTATTGGCCCAAATCAGATAAGGCTAGAGGGCTTTACTGTAGATAAACATAAATAACTATATTTTCCATAGGCAAGACTATTAAATGAAAATTTATAGCACTTGACAGGTGTGGTAGCTCACACCTGGAATCCCAGAGCTTTAGGAGGCCGAGGCAGGCAGACTGCTTAAGCTCAGAAGTTTGAGAATAGCCTGGGCAACATGGCAAAACCCTGTCTCTACAAAACAAAACAAACAAACAAAGAAACCAAAAACAGGGTGTGGTGGTGCGTCCCTGTAGTACCTGGGCAACAGAGCGAAATCCTACCTTGAAAAACACACAAAAAAAGGAAAATTTATAACACAAACTTTTTACCTTATAGAATGGTTCACGAATTTGAACTTTTACAACAGCAGCACCAGTTCTAATCCCGGACACTAAAATCATATCCCCTCGTTTCTCCTCTTTTTCCATCTTAGTTATATACACTGGGGGAGAATATTCTGCTTCAGAGTATTTAAGAATCCTAAAGACATAAAATAAAATGTGTTTCTAGCAGAATTAAATAATGCCTTCTTCCAGAAGTCCCTAAGATATGTTAAACATAGTTTCTTCAATGTCTATAAAATATAAAACACTTTTGGCTGGGCATGGTGGCTGATGCCTATAATCCCAGCACTTTGGGAGGCCAAGGCAGGTGGATCACCGAGGTCAGGAATTCGAGACCAGCCTGGCCAACATGGCGAAACTCCATCTCTACTAAAAACACAAAAATTAGTCAGGTGTAGTAGCACATGCCTGTAAGTCCAGCTATTCGGGAGGCTGAGACAGGAGAATTGCTTAAACCTAGGAGGTGGAGGTTGCAGTGAGCCACTGCACTCCAGCCTGGGGACAGAGTGAGACTCGGTCTCAAAAAAAAAAAGGAAAGGAAAGGAAAGAAAAGAGAGGCCAGGTGTGGTGGCTCATGCCTATAATCCCAGCACTCTGGGAGGCCAAAGTGGGTAGATCACTTGAAGTCAGGAGTTCGAGACCACCCTGGCCAATAAGGTGAAACCCCATCTCTACTAAAAATACAAAAATTAGCCGGGCATTGTGGCAGGTGCCTGTAGCCCCAGCTACTTGGGAGACTGAGGCAGGAGAATCGCTTGAACCCAGGAGGCAGAGGTTGCAGTGAGCTGAGACTGTGCGACTGCACAGCCTGGGTGACAGAGCAAGACTCCATCTCAAAAAGAAGAAAAAAAAAGAAAGAAAGAAAGGTATTTATGAGCCTCTGGCTAAAATTGTGGTAGAAGTAAACTTGGATTGTCTGAGATCTGCTCCTTGGTCCTGAAGACAAAATTTCATACAATTATCCTTCTCCCTCTACTTCAGCATGTGCAGGCAGCTTGAACAAAAAACTGCCAGAAGATACACCTGGCTCAAATAATTGCATGGTCCTTAGCTCATGAACTCCCCTATAATGGCTCAAATTAAGCCATCATAAAGGTACCTCTATCTATGTCATGTTTCATTCTATCAAAGACATTCCCCCTCAGTAATTTATCTGTTTCAAAAAAGAACAGACAGCAGGATCATCAAAGTTCATGAAAATGCTTGCTAGTTCAGTATGCCACTTAATAGCAGATGTCTTCTTCATAGTCAGATGATTTATGTTTGGCTTCAAGTTTACCTAATTTTGCCAGACAGTTCTCTTGCTGACTCGTTGTCCTGGGCAATGTTCCACTCAAACATCATCCCTGCCAAACTACTGAAAGTATTTCCTGTAGAGCAAGCCAAAAGCAGACAAGGTAGGATCACGTATTAAAAAATATTCAGGTATTTACACCAAGAAAGGGAAATCTAACTAGAAAATTACTTTGAGGCCTCTTTCATCAAGAAATAGAAAGCACTGGCCAGGCATGGTGGCTCACACCTATAATCCCAGCACTTTGGGAGGTCGAGGCGGGTGGATCACGAGGTCAAGAGATCAAGACCATCCTGGTCAACATGGTGAAACCCCGTCTCTACTAAAAATACAAAAATTAGCTGGGCATGGTGGTGCGTGCCTGTAGTCCCAGCTACTCGGGAGGCTGAGGCAGGAGAATTGCTTGAACCCAGGAGGCGGAGGTTGCGGTGAGCCAAGATCGTGCCATTGCACTCCAGTCTGGGTAACAACAGCAAAACTCCATCTCAAAAAAAAAAAAAAAAAGAAAAAAGAAGAAAAAAAAAGAAATAGAAAGCACTATAATTAATTAATTAAAACATATAGATGAGAAAGATCCCTACACAAACAATAAGTGCTGTTGCTGCACAAGCTGTCTGAAAGTAAAAAGAAACCAAGCAGATTAACTTCTGGTTGACAATAATTATGACATGCTCTTTCTGTTCCTTTCTACATGAGGGCCATCTCACAGTTGACAAGGCATCCTTAATCCTGGTCCTCTCCACATAAATTTTTGTAAAAAACAGTTTCCAGGCCAGGTGCAATGGCTTGTGCCTATAATTCTAGAACTTTGGGAGGCCAAGGCAGGAGGTTCACTGGAACCCAGGAGTTTGAGACCAACCTGCTCAACATAGTGAAACCCGGTCTGTGAAATAAAAACATAGCCAGGAATGGTGGCGTGTGCCTTTAGTCCTAGCTACTCAGGAGGTTGAGGTAGGAGGATTGCTTGAGCCTGGGAGGTCAAGGCTGCTGTGAGTCATGTTTGTGTTACCGCATTCCAGCCTGAGCAACAGACTCTGTATCAAAAAAAAAAAAAGCGTCTAGAATAGTTCACTTTTCAGACCAAAAAAAATCACTCTGCTGGGCACAGTGGCTCATGCCTGTAATCCCAGCATTTTGGGAGGCTGAGGCAAGTAGATCACGAGGTCAAGAGTTCAAGACCAGCCTGGTGAATATGCTGAAACCCCACCTCTACTAAAAATACAAAAAATTAGCCAGGCATGGTGGCAGGTGCCTGTAATCCCAGTTACTTGGGAAGCTGAAGCAGAGAATTGCTTGAACCAGGGAGGTGGAGATTGCAGTGAGCTGAGATCACACTACTGCACTCTAGCCTGGGTGACAAAGCAAGACTGCCTCAAAAAAAAAAAAAAAATCACTCAAGTAATTTACAAAGAAAGTGGCAATACATTTATATATATATATATATTTTTAATCGACCATGGAAAACTTGGCCTCACAGGATACTTCTTCTACCTCGGCCTCCCAAACTGTTAGAATTATAAGCATGAGCCACATGTCCTGCCTAAATGGTTTGTTTTATTGTTTACCACCTAAATGTTTTTAAACCACATTACAGCATTAATAGAGTATGGAATATTAAAAGCATTAAAGATAGATCAAGATTGTAACTTTTTCGCAGATTTACATTTAATTCTCCTGGTTTATAGAAAGTGGATTGATCAAACAGAGCTAGCAATAAATTCCAAAAAATGTTCTTAATTTTTGATCTACGGACCATCAGCAGAAGCTCAGTGGCAGATTTGGATATTTAAGAAAAGTTCTGAGTCTGGCACAGTGACTCATGCCTGTAATCCCAACACTTTAGGAGGCCAAGGTGGACAGATCACTTGAGGCCAGGAGTTCAAGACCAGCCTGGCTAACATGGTGAAAACCTTTCTCCCTTAAAAACACAAAAATTAGTGGGCGTGGCAGCACGCACCTGTAATCCCAGATACTCAGGAGGCTGAGGCACAAAAATCGCCTGAACCCGGAGGGCGGAGGTTGCAGTGAGCCAAGATCAAGCCACTGCACTCAAGCCTAGGCAACAGAGCAAGATTCCATCTCAAAAAAAAAAAAAAAAAAAAAAAAGGGAAAAGAAAAGAAAGGTCGCAGTAGCTCATGCCTGTAATCCTAGCACTTTGGGAGGCTGAGGTGGGTAGATCACCTGAGGTCAGTTCTTGATCCACAATGGTGAAACCCTGTCTCTACTAAAAATACAAAATTAGCTAGGGGTGGTGGTGCAGGCCTGTCATCCCAGCTACTCTGCAAGCTGAGGCAGGAGAACTTCTTCAACCTGGGAGGCAGAGTTTTCAGTTAACTTGGATGTGCCATTGCACTCCAGCCTGGACAATAAGAGTGAAACTGTCACAAAAAAAAAAACAAAAAAAACAAAGAAAGGAAAAGTTCTGAGATAACAATAGCAGTAATATTTTATGAAAGTGTGTAGCTAATACATTAAATTACACTCAGAATTATTATTTAGCTCCAAATGAGAGGATAGATATTATTTCTAATCACTCAAGTTTTTGTTTCCGAGTGCTAAACATAAAGGGGTATTACTTTATTTTAGTTAATTTTGTTGAATCCTCTGAAGTTCTTTTTTTTTTTACTTTTCTTCATATTGCCCTTCTCCTGATTGTAGTATCCTCTGAAGTTCTTTACCTTCAGCATCCAATGCCCTCACCATCAGTTCCAGTGGTGAATCATCTACATAAAGTTCCCGGGCCCGAGATACAATTTCGATCCTCTTTATCACATCGATCTTAACATCACAGCGTAGCTCATGGTCAGTCACTACAATGAACCCAAAAACTGAGTATTTAATTCAATAGGTCATGAATCTATTAAATGTCTCAAATACTCAAAACTGTATTCTAAACATCATGAAAAAGGAAGACTATGACAGCTGCTTTTACCTATGGAAGAAAATAGCATAACAAGATATAAGAGCCTTTCTTTGAAACAACAGACACTAGACCAGTGATTCCAAAACACTGATCTATGATGTTTTACTCATCCATGGAAAAATGAGAAAAATAAAAATGTTAATCTTTTGCTCCAAATTCTTCCAGATCCTGACAACAAATAAAAATTTTAAAATAGTGAATAATAAAATTAAGTTGTAGTCATATTAAAGGAATATAATTTATTCATACATCTTATTTTTAAAATGGTAAACATTATCTTTTATGAAATAATGGTGTTAGTAAAATTTTTTAAATGTATATATTTAGGAAAGTAAAATGGTGGCAACTATAAGTCAGTCCTATCAATAAACTTCTCTCTTTCTTTTAATTTTTTTTTTTTGAGACTGAGTCTCACTGTGTTGCCCAGGCTGGAGTATAGTAGCGTGATCTTGGTTCACTGCAACCTCCACCTCCCAGGTTCAAGTGATTCTCCTCTCAGCTGGAATTACAGGTGCCTACCACCATGCCCAGCTAATTTTTGTATTTTTAGAAGAGATGGGGTTTCACCATGTTGGCTAGGCTGGTCTTGAATTCCTGACCTCAGGTGATCTGCTCACCTCGGCCTCACAAAGTAATGGGATTACAGGCGTGAGCCACTATGCCCGGCCCATCATTTTTTTTTTTTTTTTTTTTTCTGAGCCATTAGATTACAAAGTCTGGGAACCACTGTATTAGATCTAGCTAGAGTACCAGTCTAACCAGAGTTCTAGTCAACATACCCATAATGAAATTCAGAAACACTAATTGAAATAGTACAGAATAAAATGAGAACGAGATAAAAATTGTTTGTATCACTGTATTTTTTAAATGGTAAAAATTATCATGATATTTGTAATATAAAACAACTGTGATGTTGTAGCACCCTCTCTTCCCACATCTGCCATGTATCTGAGAACTGTCTGCATAGTTGTTCCATTCTACTATGGTAACTACACATTTTCAGTTTCAGTTTCATCCATAAAAACCAAAAAGCAAAGTTACTACCACTTTTCAATGACTCTAAATTACCAGTAAACATCAGGGATAAACTCCATCCCTCTGCTTTCATGGAATTTTAAAATCAAAGGAGAGGCTGGGTGCAGTCGCTCACGCCTGTAATCCCAGCACTTTGGGAGGCTGAGGCAGGTGGATCACCTGAGGTCAGGAGTTAGAGACCAACCTGGCCAACATGGTGAAACCCTGTCTCTACTAAAACACAAAAAGTAGTTGGGTGTGATGCTGCATACCTGTAGTCCCAGCTACTCAGGAGGCTGAGGCAAGAGAATTGTGTGAAACTGGGAGGCATAATTTGCAGTGAGCCAAGATCGATCGCGCCACTGCACTCCAGCCTGGGTAACAGAGTGAGTAAAGTTACCTTAAATTAAAAATTAAACATTGGCAGAGCATAACGGCTCACACCTGTAATCCCAGCACTGGGAGGCCAAGGCAGGAGTATTGCTTGAGATCAGGAGTTTAAGACCAGCCTGGCCAACATGGTGAAACCCCATCTCTACTAAAAATACAAAAATTAGCCAGGCATGGTGGTGGTACACACCTATAGTCCCAGCTATTCGGGAGGCTGAGGCAGGAGAATCACTTGAACCTGTGAGGTGGAGGTTGCAGTGAATCGAGATGGCACCATAGCCTGGGTGACAGAGCGAGACTTCATCTCCCCCCGCAAAAAAAAAAAAAAAAAATTTAACATTGAAAAAAAATCAAAGGAGAATGTTAATCAGATAATACAAGTAAATGCCCCTCAACAAAGGCTAAGGTGCACTAAAATATGCTTATTTCAGGAAATGATATGCTTTCTTTCACAAGAAATGTTAAAAATTGAATTATTCATCCTGAAACTTATAAAGACAATACAATTGAACAAATACATCATAGATAATGAAAGTCAGTTTTCTCCCTGTCAGAGAAAGAAGTTACAATAAGCAAGGTGGGAAGGCTAGAATAAACCCGCAGGTGCAAGATTAGAATTGAAGAATATCAGTATGAGATCATGTTTATTTTAATATCTATGCAAACAGACATAGAAATAAGTATAGATATATGTGTATACATGAGTTAGCATATATACATATATTTCCCAGTTCTGTTTACTAAGAGGGCCTAGAAGCAGTGGATATACCAGTAGCTTTTTTTTTTTGAGACAGAGTCTTGCTCTGTTGCCCAGACTGGAGTGGAGTGCAGTGGCATGATCTTGGCTCACTGCAACCTCCACCTCCTGGGTTCAAGCAAATTTCCTGCCTCAGCTTCCTGAGGAGCTGAGATTACAGATGCACACCACCACACCAGCTAATTTTTGTGTGTGTGTGTGTGTTTTTTAATAGAGATGGGGTTTTACCACGTTGGTCAGGCTGGTCTCGAACTCCTGACCTTCTGATCCGCCTGACTCAGCCTCCCAAAGTACTAGGATTACAGGCATGGGCCACTGCACCTGGCCGCAAATATGATTCTTGTTGTTGAGACAGTCTCCCTAAGTTATTCAGCTTAGTCTAGAACACCTGGCCTCAAGTGATCCTCCTACCTCAACCTCCCAAACTGCTGACATTGCAGGCACTAAATATAATTAAGAACCAGGAGGCTGGGCGCGGTGGCTCAAGCCTGTAATCCCAGCACTTTGGGAGGCCGAGGCGGGTGGATCACAAGGTCAAGAGATCGAGACCATCCTGGTCAACATGGTGAAACCCCGTCTCTACTAAAAATACAAAAAAAAAAAAAAAAAAAAAAAAATAGCTGGGCATGGTGGCATGTGCCTGTAATCCCAGCTACTCAGGAGACTGAGGCAGGAGAATTGCCTGAACCCAGGAGGCGGAGGTTGCAGTGAGCCTAGATCGCGCCATTGCACTCCAGCCTGGGTAACGAGAGTGAAACTCCGTCTCAAAAATAAAGAACCAGGACTCCTTGAAGAAATGGCTGAGTAAGATGACCCTGGCCCATCTCAGAACTAAAAAATTAAGGGCCGGGCGCGGTGGCTCACGCCTGTAATCCCAGCACTCTGGGAGGCCGAGGCAGGTGGATCACGAGGTCAAGAGAACGAGACCATCCTGGTCAACATGGTGAAACCCCGTCTCTACTAAAAATACAAAAAAAAATTAGCTGGGCATGGTGGTGCGTGCCTGTAATCCCAGCTACTCAGGAGGCTGAGACAGGAGAATTAGAATTACCTGAACCCAGGAGGCGGAGGTTGCCGTGAGCCGAGATCGTGCCATTGCACTCCAGCCTGGGTAACAAGAACGAAACGCCGTCTCAAAAAAAAGAAAAAAGAACTAAAAAATTGAAAAGTACAATCAGCCAGTCACAAAAATTCAATAAAAGATAAGGGCAAATCCAAAGAACATAAGAACCAACTTGTAAGAGCCCCCAATGGTCAAAGCTGGAAAAACTGTAATAACAGAATAAATTATGATCATATTGAAATATAGTCCCCAAATTAAATAAATATCCATGAAATCATACTGACATAAATAATTGAATAAATTAACTGTGAAGAAGTTATTTATAATATGTAAGACATCATTCTTTCAGAACAATACTAGTTAATAAGTATAGAAGATATGAAGGAAATTGCTTGAGCCCAGGAGTTCAAAATCAGTCTAGGCAACATAATGAGACCTCATCTTTACAAATAATAAAAAGAATCTAGCCAGGTGTGGTGCACACCTGTGGTCCCAGCTACTTGGAACGCTGAGGTGGAAGAATCACTTGAGCCTGGGTGGTCAATGCTTCAGTGAGCTGAGACCATGCCATGCAAGAGGAATATCACACACACACACACAAATCACAGTACTAAGATACATGGAAAAACACTAAAATTAGTGGGTAAAACTTCAAGGAGAAACAGGATACATCAAAGTATCTCCCTTAAATATTTATTAGCTATTGCAGTGGTTAATACATGTGTACACATTCTTTGGTACTCCTCCTTCCAAGAGGTAAAGGTTAATTCTCTTTCCTTTATTTTTGTTTCGTTTTTTTAAAAAACAGGGTCTTACTCTGTCACCCAGGCTGGAGAGCGGTGCCACAATCATAGCTCAATGCAGTCTTGAACTCCTGGGCTCAAGTGAGCCTCCCATCTCAGCCTCCTGAGTGGTTGAGATTATAGGCTCATGCCACTGCACCTGGCTAATTTTTAATTTTTTGTAGAGGCAGGGTCTCACTTCGTTGCCCAGGCCTATTTCCCTTCCTTTGAATTGTAGGCTAGGCTTAATGACCACTTTTAATAAATAGCATATGTGAAGGGGAAAATGGTAAGTTCACAGTGGAGAAACCTGACAGATACCACCTTAACCAAGTAGTCAAGGTTAACATCACCAGTGATAAATCATGCTGATATAGGGAACCCCCTAAAATAATGCAATGGGAAGGGCTCTTCAATTTCTATGTGGGTTTTTTTTCCCTCAAAATCTGTAACCCCAGGCTAATCATGAGAAAACATCACATAAACCCAAATTGAGAAACATTCTATAAAACATCTGACCAGTACTCTTAAAAAAAAAAAAAAAAAAAAAAGGCCAGGCACGGTGGCTCACGCCTATAATCCCAGCACTTTGGGAGGCCGAGGTGGGCAGATCACTAGGTCAAGAGATCAAGACCATCCTGGTGAACGTGGTGAAACCATGTCTCTACTAAAAATACAAAAAAAATTAGCTGGGCATGGTGGCACGCACCTGTAGTCCCAGCTACTTGGGAGGCTGAGGCAGGAGAATTGCTTGAACCTGGGAGGCAGAGGTTGCAGTGAGCCAAGGTCGTGCCACTGCATTCCACCCTGGCACCTGGTGATGGAGTAAGACTGTCTCAAAAAAAAAAAAAAAAAGAAAGAAAGAAAAGAAAGGTCTCTGG